AGCTCACTTAAATTAAGTTCTGGGACATTAAAAATATTACATTGTGAGGAAAAAAAGATTCTGAAAGCACCATAATGATTCTACTGGCTCTTCAGACAGACTGGTGTTTCCAATAGTAATAGATAAATTGCCTTGAATTGATCTGACCGATGAATTAACCTTTGTGTCTATTTACTGCTGTTTTTGGTTAATAGGTGTGTCCTACACCAGTGCTGTATTGATGGTCAGTTGTGGACTTCTGACTGACCACACATCTGTCCACTCCTTGGATACTGACCAGGTCACTGTGCTGGGTTCACAGTCCTACCAACTGACCAATGTAAGAAGGACATATACTATGTCATATTAAATCACTGCATTCAGACATAGAACAAAATGTATTATAGCTTAAAACCTTAGGTATGTAAACAAAATGTATTATAGCTTAAAACCTTAGATAAGTAAACAAAATGTATTATAGCTTAAAACCTTAGATAAGTAAACAAAATGTATTATAGCTTAAAACCTTAGATAAGTAAACAAAATGTATTATAGCTTAAAACCTTAGATAAGTAAACAAAATGTATTATAGCTTAAAACCTTAGGTATGTAAACAAAATGTATTATAGCTTAAAACCTTAGATAAGTAAACAAAATGTATTATAGCTTAAAACCTTAGATAAGTAAACAAAATGTATTATAGCTTAAAACCTTAGATAAGTAAACAAAATGTATTATAGCTTAAAACCTTAGGTAAGTAAACAAAATGTATTATAGCTTAAAACCTTAGATAAGTAAACAAAATGTATTATAGCTTAAAACCTTAGGTAAGTAAACAAAATGTATTATAGCTTAAAACCTTAGATAAGTAAACAAAATGTATTATAGCTTAAAACCTTAGATAAGTAAACAAAATGTATTATAGCTTAAAACCTTAGGTATGTAAACAAAATGTATTATAGCTTAAAACCTTAGATAAGTAAACAAAATGTATTATAGCTTAAAACCTTAGGTATGTAAACAAAATGTATTATAGCTTAAAACCTTAGGTATGTAAACAAAATGTATTATAGCTTAAAACCTTAGATAAGTAAACAAAATGTATTATAGCTTAAAACCTTAGGTATGTAAACAAAATGTATTATAGCTTAAAACCTTAGGTAAGTAAACAAAATGTATTATAGCTTAAAACCTTAGGTATGTAAACAAAATGTATTATAGCTTAAAACAAAATGTATTATAGCTTAAAACCTTAGATAAGTAAACAAAATGTATTATAGCTTAAAACCTTAGGTATGTAAACAAAATGTATTATAGCTTAAAACCTTAGGTATGTAAACAAAATGTATTATAGCTTAAAACCTTAGGTATAAACAAAATGTATTATAGCTTAAAACCTTAGATAAGTAAACAAAATGTATTATAGCTTAAAACCTTAGATAAGTAAACAAAATGTATTATAGCTTAAAACCTTAGGTATGTAAACAAAATGTATTATAGCTTAAAACCTTAGGTATGTAAACAAAATGTATTATAGCTTAAAACCTTAGGTATGTAAACAAAATGTATTATAGCTTAAAACCTTAGGTATGTAAACAAAATGTATTATAGCTTAAAACCTTAGGTATGTAAACAAAATGTATTATAGCTTAAAACCTTAGATAAGTAAACAAAATGTATTATAGCTTAAAACCTTAGATAAGTAAACAAAATGTATTATAGCTTAAAACCTTAGATAAGTAAACAAAATGTATTATAGCTTAAAACCTTAGAAAACCTAGTAAACAAAATGTATTATAGCTTAAAACCTTAAAATGTATTATAGCTTAAAACCTTAGATAAGTAAACAAAATGTATTATAGCTTAAAACCTTAGAAAACAAAATGTATTATAGCTTAAAACCTTAGATAAGTAAACAAAATGTATTATAGCTTAAAACCTTAGATAAGTAAACAAAATGTATTATAGCTTAAAACCTTAGATAAGTAAACAAAATGTATTATAGCTTAAAACCTTAGTATGTATTATAGCTTAAAACCTTAGGTATGTAAACAAAATGTATTATAGCTTAAAACCTTAGATAAGTAAACAAAATGTATTATAGCTTAAAACCTTAGATATGTAAACAAAATGTATTATAGCTTAAAACCTTAGATAAGTAAACAAAATGTATTATAGCTTAAAACCTTAGATAAGTAAACAAAATGTATTATAGCTTAAAACCTTAGATAAGTAAACAAAATGTATTATAGCTTAAAACCTTAGGTATGTAAACAAAATGTAAACAAAACCTGTATTGTATTATAGCTTAAAACCTTAGGTATGTAAACAAAATGTATTATAGCTTAAAATAGCTTAAAACCTTAGATAAGTAAACAAAATGTATTATAGCTTAAAACCTTAGATAAGTAAACAAAATGTATTATAGCTTAAAACCTTAGATAAGTAAACAAAATGTATTATAGCTTAAAACCTTAGGTATGTAAACAAAATGTATTATAGCTTAAAACCTTAGGTATGTAAACAAAATGTATTATAGCTTAAAACCTTAGCTTAAAACCTAAGTAAACAAAATGTATTATAGCTTAAAACCTTAGGTAAACAAAATGTATTATACAAAATGTATTATAGCTTAAAACCTTAGATAAGTAAACAAAATGTATTATAGCTTAAAACCTTAGGTAAACAAAATGTATTATAGCTTAAAACCTTAGGTATAAGTAAACAAAATGTATTATAGCTTAAAACCTTAGGTATGTAAACAAAATGTATTATAGCAAAATGTATTATAGCTTAAAACCTTAGGTATGTAAACAAAATGTATTATAGTAAAACCTTATAGTATTAACTTAAAACCTTAGATGTAAACAAAATGTATTATAGCTTAAAACCTTAGGTATGTAAACAAAATGTATTATAGCTTAAAACCTTAGGTATGTAAACAAAATGTATTATAGCTTAAAACCTTAGATAAGTAAACAAAATGTATTATAGCTTAAAACCTTAGATAAGTAAACAAAATGTATTATAGCTTAAAACCTTAGATAAGTAAACAAAATGTATTATAGCTTAAAACCTTAGATAAGTAAACAAAATGTATTATAGCTTAAAACCTTAGGTATGTAAACAAAATGTATTATAGCTTAAAACCTTAGATAAGTAAACAAAATGTATTATGTAGCTTAAAACCTTAGATAAGTAAACAAAATGTATTATAGCTTAAAACCTTAGGTATGTAAACAAAATGTATTATAGCTTAAAACCTTAGGTATGTAAACAAAATGTATTATAGCTTAAAACCTTATAGCTTAAAACCTTAGGTATGTAAACAAAATGTATTATAGTAAACAAAATGTATTATAGCTTAAAACCTTAGATAAGTAAACAAAATGTATTATAGCTTAAAACCTTAGATAAGTAAACAAAATGTATTATAGCTTAAAACCTTAGGTATGTAAACAAAATGTATTATAGCTTAAAACCTTAGATAAGTAAACAAAATGTATTATAGCTTAAAACCTTAGATAAGTAAACAAAATGTATTATAGCTTAAAACCTTAGGTATGTATTATAGCTTAAAACCTTATATTATAGCTTAAAACCTTAGGTATGTAAACAAAATGTATTATAGCTTAAAACCTTAGATAAGTAAACAAAATGTATTATAGCTTAAAACCTTAGGTATGTAAACAAAATGTATTATAGCTTAAAACCTTAGATAAGTAAACAAAATGTATTATAGCTTAAAACCTTAGATAAGTAAACAAAATGTATTATAGCTTAAAACCTTAGATAAGTAAACAAAATGTATTATAGCTTAAAACCTTAGATAAGTAAACAAAATGTATTATAGCTTAAAACCTTAGATAAACAAAATGTATTATAGCTTAAAACCTTAGATAAGTAAAATGTATTATAGCTTAAAACCTTAGATAAGTAAACAAAATGTATTATAGCTTAAAACCTTAGATAAGTAAACCTTAGGTAAGTAAACAAAATGTATTATAGCTTAAAACCTTAGGTATGTAAACAAAATGTATTATAGCTTAAAACCTTAGATAAGTAAACAAAATGTATTATAGCTTAAAACCTTAGATAAGTAAACAAAATGTATTATAGCTTAAAACCTTAGGTATGTAAACAAAATGTATTATAGCTTAAAACCTTAGATAAGTAAACAAAATGTATTATAGCTTAAAACCTTAGATATGTAAACAAAATGTATTATAGCTTAAAACCTTAGTAAACAAAATGTATTATAGCTTAAAACCTTAGATATGTAAACAAAATGTATTATAGCTTAAAACCTTAGGTATGTAAAAGAATCTTACATTTCAGTAGGACAGAGGAGGAGACAGTGTCCCTGTATTTAGATAAATAAAAAAACAAAATATTACATAGCAACAAACCTGAGGCCAGTGTCCCTGTATTTAGATAAATAAAAAGAAAATATTACATATCAACAGGAAAGAGAGGCCAGTGTTCCTGTATTTAGATAAATAAAAAGAAAATATTACATATCAACAGGAAAGAGAGGCCAGTGTTCCTGTATTTAGATAAATAAAAAAATTGATCTTTTATTAATAGGTCAGAGGAGAGGACAGTGCTCGCTACAGAACATCCTATCTTTTCCACTACAGTGGCACCTACAGGTTTAACGTCAAGTGTGTTGCTTCAGAATCAAGACAAGATGGCGAAAAAGACCATATATGGAAATGCCATGATATACAAGTTCGGGTCATAGATGAGGAGTGATGGATTGGACACAGTTTTCTTTCTGTCAGATGCAAACATAAAATATTTTATATTAATGATTATAGAAACTTTATCTTCATTTCAGACTCATTGTTCCCTTTGTTTACTACACATCTAACTGTTGATGCATTTCTATAACAACTTATTTATACTATCAGTTTATCAATCTTATTCCAATCTTTTTTCACCTTTGCTACATTTTGTTTATTTTTGTAAATCCAAATCACCAGCCCCTGTTGTCAAATCCAATTAATTACTTTAAAATTGGCCCTGTTATACATTTATTGAAATATCTTTTGGCTAGACTCATTGTTAGCTTGTTAACAGTTTTTTGGTTCAAAAGAGAAAGATTGTTTAAAGAAAGGTTCCCAATGCTTTTCAGGGTTTAATTTTATTTACTTACCTTTTTTCTTACTCTAAAATTTAAAACAGAAAATCAGGTAATAACTGATTAAATTTTGTGAGAAGCGGTTAAGTTGTTTACACATACGATATAAAATTATGAAAGGTCTGTGATTTTAGTTGATGATTAAAATTTTCATATATTTGTAATCGCAAAAATATAGTAGTAGTTTTATTTCAAAGAATTTCATATGTTTAATTGTAATCACACCTAATGCATTTTTTAGCATTATCTTCTTTACTTACAGCTACATTTCATCAAGTCTGTTTGAAGTTGGCTTTACACAAAAATTAGCATTAAAAAAAATGTGTGTGTTCATAGAGGCCTGTCTTGGTGTAAAACAAACAGTTACTCCTCCTGACAAAATAATGGGTATATATTTTATAGCTCTAGCATTGATGGAAGCATGAGGGGTTGCTGGACTCCTGGGGATCAGATAGGTGTGAGACATATACCGTAATGCCCATATAGTGCACACTTTTTTAGGCAAAAACTGTTGTGTGAAAAAGGGAACATGCCATACTAGTGGTTATCATTCTCTAGTTCTCTGTCCACCATTTTGGATTTCCTCCCTTCATATAGTTATATTTAGAGTTGTCTGTCATATATCCTTGTACAGTCTGAAAGATAGACATCTCACAATAGTATAAAAATATTATCCAATGTTATATACAAGGGGGGAGGGATGTGACTCCTACAATTGTGATATATATCAGAAGTTGTGATATTTCCTGAAACATGTGTTTATGAATTAGGGTATGTACAATATTACTACACGTGAAATGATTATGCACTATAAATTGTTGTCATGACAACAATGATACATTAGGTATGTGATGATATCACTGTTGCTAATTGGCAGTTCATCTGGAACAAAGCATCAGATGAACTTATGCCATGGCTCAAAAGTCTATCATTGTTTTGTTTCATATATAAACCTGAAAGGTAAGGTCAGCTGAATGTTTTAACTGAATCTAGTCCACAGCAGAACACTAATGTTTGTATTGAGGATTGGGACAGAGGGATAGAGTCTATCATTGTTTTCTATTAAGATGTCGCTGTGATTGCATGAATATCCAGGTGAATGATTCAGGCTCTGTGGGCCTTTTGTTGTTAATCCTCTTGTAAGAAGCTCAATAATTGATACAATTATCAGTAGAACTCTTCTTGACTGTCTGTTCATACTTTTTTGTCAACAACACATGAAAATTGTTATAAAATAGTATTATCTCAGGTTTGTTGTCTCAGAATTCTCTTAGTTACACAATGAATTTTGATATGATTTACAAAAATTGATAGTATTCAGATCAACATTCTGTGTATCCAATGTTTTTTTAGTGTAAACAGACAAAACCATTATCCCAACTAGGTAAAACTGGATTTGTAGGCATGTTGTGGCACCAGTGGAACTGTAATGGTGTGATACACTCTACAGTGCCAGACTGAAACAATCGACCAATTAACATAAGTACTAAAAATATATGTGACTTTAGCTATGTATTATAATTAAAGGGGCTATATAGTCAAGTTTGTTTATTTTTTTTCTAGTTACAAATTCATCCGTAAAAATGTAGTTCTATAATCCTAATGAACTATCCTGGCCGACATATTGATACAAGGGCGTGCTTTCCTTCACTTTGTAATTAATTATATGGGAAATCCTAATCGTCTGTACAGACACAATAAAATGCAAATGAGCGAGCCGCCTATGCACATTTTGACCTGTGAGCATGCGCAAACGCGTCTGAAAAAATAAACAAAAATGGCTTCCCAGCCGAAGCATGTTCGTGGCAAACGGGGCATGTCATTACACACAAAACGTAGAAAAGTCCAGTGGCAGAAAGCTCACCCTCAAATAACAATAGGAGAGCAGTACGAGAGGTGGGACAAGTTCAAGAAAAACCTTCTTTTTCCAAAGTAATGAAGAAGTTGTGAAGACTCTCCTAGACTGTTGGTAAGTGATAAGTCATCATCGCTGGTGATATGATTTGTATGTCAGACCGTGTTTGGCAGATTTAAACCATCAAATAACAATTCACCGTGAATTTTAGTAACTTTTACATGTTTCCTAAAGGTTTACCATGCATTTTCTTTCATGATTTCCTTATGGAAGGAGTTAACGTGAAATCAGACTCACCATTTCGTTAATTGATGCCTCCATATCGCGTGCATTTGTTTACAAACAGTCTTCTTCCCGCCAGAGGGCGCAGCGTTTCATTCTATATTTGGATTATCGTTTTTTTGGCAGGGGCTTCCCCAGATTTTAAACTGACCACACTGGACATTGGCTACGTAGGAGAAAAAAATTATGTACAGATTTGTTAGTCTTGACACATATTTTCATTTCCAGCTTAATAGAAAAAACATTGCTTGACTAAATAGCCCCTTTAATATAATCATAATTTATGGTAAAACCTTAGTTTATGAACTACATAATTTATTATAAATGGTAAAAAATTCTGATATCTATCAGGTCCAATTGAATATTACACTGCTACAGTAACATATGTATCTTTGTTAAGATACCCTGCTATTTTGTGTGTATTTCTGATTTGTATACAAGGAATTCTTTGTCTGCTGAGGTGGTGCTAATTGCTGGAGACAATTGTAGTAAAGTAACCTGACACTGTTGTATTGATGCAGGAAGCTAATATAATTGTACACATAATGTACCTTAAGTGTGTTATGCAACCTTACAGCTACACTATTTGATTTAAGGGTGTATGCTGCCTGACCACTACACTATTAGATTTACACTGAAGTTATCACTTCTAAAAAGTGCATCACTATAGTTAAGTCCCAGAAGGACAACACTGAAGTTAACAGCCCCACAAAGTACAACATTGAAGTTAACAGTCCCACGAAGGACAACATTGAAGTTAACATCCCACGAAGGACAACATTGAAGTTTACAATCCAAGAAGGACAACACTGAAGTTAACAGTTCCACCAAGGACAACATTGAAGTAACAGTCCCACAAAGGACAACATTGAAGTTAACAGTCCCTGAAGGACAACATTGAAGTTAACTGTCCCACAAAGGACAACATTGAAGTTTACAATCCAAGGACAACACTGAAGTTAACAGTTCCACGAAGGACAACATTGAAGTTAACAATCCAAGAAGGACAACACTGAAGTTAACAGTAACACGAAGGACAACATTGAAGTAACAGTCCCACAAAGGACAACATTGAAGTTAACAGTCCCTGAAGGACAACATTGAAGTTAACAGTCCCACAAAGGACAACATTGAAGATAACATCCCACGAAGGACAACATTGAAGTTAACATCCCACAAAGGACAACATTGAAGTTTACAATCCAAGAAGGACAACACTGAAGTTAACAGTCCCACGAAGGACAACATTGAAGTTAACATCCCACGAAGGACAACATTGAAGTTTACAATCCAAGAAGGACAACACTGAAGTTAACAGTCCCACGAAGGACAACATTGAAGTTAACAGTCCCACAAAGGACAACATTGAAGTTAACAGTCCCTGAGAACAACACTGAAGTTAGCAGTCCCACGAAGGACAACATTGAAGTTAACAGTCCCACAAAGGACAACATTGAAGATAACATCCCACGAAGGACAACATTGAAGTTAACATCCCACGAAGGACAGCATTGAAGTTAACATCCCATAAAGGGCAAAACTGTAGTTAACAGTCTCACAAAGGGCAACACCCAAGTTTAAAGTCAATTAGAAGATCAGAAGTTATTGGGCCAGGCAATTCTTAAAGATGCACAAGGGGTCTTAATGTCTAATCAACACAATAACACTAAACAGAGTGGCATGGTAGTCTTAACTGCATTTCTGATAGATCAAACACAGAAAAAAAAATGAAATTTAAAGGCAGAGCATATTTCTTAAATTCATCACATCACTTAAATTTTGAATGAATTAAACCTTAAAATGTTGATGTAGATATATATATATATGTATCTCACCTGCCTGACGAGGGAATTAGCACATCTGATGTTATTCAGGATTTATTTACCTCTTTGAATGACTATGTCTAAATAACTTAGAACTCATTGAGGTTCAGTACATTAAGTATAATTAAATATCTGACACATTTTCAATGTGATAGAGGTCAAATGTGTTATAAGGATGAAACATGTTGATATACTGGGATGATTTGCTCCCGCCCACTTTTCAATTCATCAGTAATTCAAACTCTTTAAATTACTTTTATAGTAAAGAGGTCCAGGGTGATAGTTGACCTATGTAGTAATAATAACCATGGTTACATGAATAAACTCAGAAAGTCTTCTCTTCTGAAGCAGCTGGTAAGCAATGTGTGCTCATTAGGCCTCTTGTCAACTTAGAAAATGATTTCCAAATTATGACTTTCTAAATGATACAGAATAGATCTCTGGTTTTAATGATGACTACATCCATCAGTAGTGGGTTATCTGCTGCTTTGATTCTGTTGCTTTGTTTAGCCTTTGTCTGTATATAGTGTTTATTTGGGGATGATGCAATACTGTTGCTATATAGGCTTCCCAAGGTCCAAGTATCATACATATCAAATTTAGTGGCCGTGAGATACAGAGTATCTGGCCGTGAGATACAGGGTATCTGGCGGTGAGTTAGTGTATCTGGCCGTGAGATACAGGGTATCTGGCGGTGAGTTAGTGTATCTGGCCGTGAGATACAGAGTATCTGGCCGTGAGATACAGGGTATCTGGCGGTGAGTTAGTGTATCTGGCCGTGAGATATAGGGTATCTGGCCGTGAGATATAGGGTATCTGGCGGTGAGTTAGTGTATCTGGCCGTGAGATACAGAGTATCTGGCCGTGAGATACAGGGTATCTGGCGGTGAGTAAGTGTATCTGGCCGTGAGATACAGG